CAACATTGAATCTTCTCATATTCAAACATTGCTATGCATATTAGGTAGTTTACAATATACTTGAGTATATTTAATTTTCTATTGTCTTTCTGTATTATTATATTGTATCATATTAATTCTTAAATCAATATAATCTATTGTTTTAATTCCTTTTACTGCCACAACCTACAACAAAAAGGTTCATTAGTCTATAATTCAAATTCTATTGAATGCAATTTCATAATTTTGTTCATAATTACATGTTATGTATTTAAATTAATTTATATTGGTCTCCAAATCAACTTGATTTTCCAATTAAATTATTTACACCATCTGAAGTATCTAAAGTAATAAAATACGATTTAAGCTGCAAAAAAGCCCCTCCTGGTTATGATCTGATAACAGGTAAAGTTTTGAAGGAGCTGCCAAGAAAAGGTATAGTTTTCCTTACAGTACTTTTCAATGCGGTATTACAAAGACTCCAATAGTTGTTTGTGTAACTAGTGAGCAAAGTGGCACTTTGATGCACATGGAGCAATGTTTACGCACAAGCTGCAGGCGAGTGCGGAATGATCTCGAGTACAGCAAAGGCCTTTTGCACTCGTATTACACATCATATTTTTCCTACAGTCACTATAAAGCATAAAAATAATTAGTCTTTCAAACACGTGTTGTATAGTACTATACAACACATTTTTAGGTTAGGTTAAACCCAAGCCATGAACGGAATGGGAAATACTGCACCAGCTGATCGTTCATACTTCTTTCTTGATTTTTCGGGTAACAGGTTTAATGAAACATGTTTTCAGTTTCTGCAATTTCTGGTCTACCATTATATTAACAATCACTTTCACTGAGCTCATTATTTTTAAACATGTTAGGCCCACTTATAATTCATCTTTAAAATACTACACTTCAGGTTGTGTTCAAACCAAGCGTTGAACGAAAAATAGAACATAAACTATAAACACAAAATGACAGGTAAAATCGTAGTTATAATAGTCAATCAGCTGATCATAGTATTATTATCTTTAAGTGTTGCCAACCTATTTCCAAGCGCATAACGCGTGCGGATTAAGTGGATAATAAAACCACGCTGTTTTGTGTTGTTTGGTTGGAATCCTGATGTGCGCCAAAGTATAAACCGTACGACAAAGTATAAATCTATCATTTCAGCCTCTGGATTGCTTATATAATCAAATAAATAGTAAAGTCTTACCTTAGCAATCCTTATTATGGTGGTCCGATATTAATTTCAAACCCGTAGGTTCATCATCAGTCGGAAATTTAGGTAGACCAAATGTTTGTTATAAAATCCACCCGATGGGTTTCGTAGAAATGTTGACATTTAACACGAAGACACACATTACAGTTGACATAAATAATACTCGTAGTTTAGGGATAAAACCATGGTTTTTATCCCTAAACTACGAGTATTATTTATGTCAACTGTAATGTGTGTCTTCGTGTTAAATGTCAACATTTCTACGAAACCCATCGGGTGGATTTTATAACATACATTTGGTCTACCTAAATTTCCGACTGATAATGAACCTACGGGTTTGAAATTAATATCGGACCACCATAATAAGGATTGCTAAGGTAAGACTTTACTATTTATTTGAAAGTATAAATATGCAGCAATTAACAGCTTTCTGTACTATAATCAGTACAAGGAAGCCAACTTTGTCGGGTGACTGTAGGAAATAGTTATTTGTGTAACTAGTGGTGAAAGTGGCACTTTGCTGCACACGAGAGCAATGTTTACGAGAGGAATGATCTCGAGTGCAGCAAAGGCCTTTTTCACTCGTGTTACACATTATATTTTTCCTACAGTCACTATAAAGCATATAATTAATTAGTCTTTCAAACACTATACAACACGTTTTTAGGTTCAGCTGGCAACACAAATGGTGCCCTAGAGAAAGTAGTACCCGCGGTCCGTATCACTCCGCTATTTTTCCTCGGCAAGAAATGTGCTCCGCGTTTTGAGAATATAGTTCCGCATGTTTTTGTAATTTGAAGTGGTTTCCGCGCCTAAAAAAATGCTTTAAAGGTATTTTCTTGTTTATTAAGATCGTAGGAATGTTTTAAAAACGTTTAAAAGAAAAGTCCAGAAAGTTCAGAAATACCGAAACTATAAACACAAAATGACAGGTTAAATCGAAGTTATAATAGTCAATTAGCTGCTCATAGTAATTATCTTTAAGTGTTGCCAACCTATTTCCAAGCGTACACGGATTACGTGCATAATAGAACCACGCTGTTTTGTGTTGTTTCGTTGGAATCCTGATGTGCGGCAAAGTATAAATATGCAGCAATTAGCAGCTTTCTGTACTATAAACAGTACAAGGAAGCCAACTTTGTCGGGTGACTGTAGGAAAAGTATAATTTATGAAAGAGAATTGTTGCATCAGTTTGGATTCCGCCAAAGACATGCCACCATCCAGCAAGTGTATAGAATAATGAATGTTAACATGGAAGATCTTGAAAATAATTTTTATTTATTTATTTGAAACAAATTTAACACATTTTTACAGGCCATCATACACCATGCTGCAAAAGCCTAACATGGCTTGTCTGCAGCTCATTAAACTAAAGGAAAATCAAGTCCAAACTCTTATCACTTCCATCAGTCAGTGTTAGTGTACTCCTTATCTCTACAGCATGTTATCACAATCATCATGAAAGTCCCAACAAATCTGCAGCCAAACTACTATGCTACTTTTAAATCTCTTTACAAAACAAAAACCTAATTTGTTACAAAAAATTAAATACTTTAGTGTTTCATTGTATTCACAAAAGTCATCTCCTCTATTTATTTACAGTTTCCTTCTTCTTTTTACTTTTATTAATTAAAAATGATTAACACTGATATGACAACCACAATAATTTAAGAAGATAAATACAATTTTTGTACATCTATACAGTAAATAAACTCTATTTAGTCGAAGACAAAATAACTATTGACAATTTACAAACTAGATAACTTTTTTTTTAATAAACAAACTCTGTTTTAAGTTCTCAATGATTTTTGTTCATCTGCATTCTTAGACTAGCCCAGGCATTTGATAAAGTCTGGCATGCTGGATTATTGTTCAAAATTAAAACTTTACTGCCTCATAAGAACCTCGATTAGCCGTGGTCAATTGATGCCTCTTAAATTATGTTACATAACCTCAAAAATCACCAAAACTGGAAGTTTGACCACAACAGGGAGGAGTTCCAAATTCGAATTCCCTCGCCTGACCATTCCCGGAGGACGCAAGAAACCATCTCTTCACAAGATTGAAGACTGCCATGGACTGAAGCTGAAGAGGAGTCTCACTAGAAAGCCTGATCAGGGGAAGGTTTTCGACGTGGCTTGCCGATGCCGTGATTCTAACCATTTCATCCGGGCCAGCAAGTTCACTCGATTTGCCGATTGGCAATTCATTTTTAAGGCTCGCCTCGGCACTGTCCCTCTGAACGGTTGCAGGTGTTGGGGAGAAGGCGATAGAAGGTGCAGGCGCTGTGGTGAGCAGGCAGAAACTCTGCCTCATCTCCTGAACCACTGCCAGCCAACCAGTGAGGGCTGGAGAAAGCGCCATGATAACGTCCTCCATCGTTTAGCCGGATCAATCCCGGAAAGGACCGGAACCACCAGGGATGGCCTGACTGTCCCCGGTGTTGAGAGCACCTTGAGGCCCGACCTGGTCGTCACAAACGAGTCACAAAAGCGCCGATGAGCTTCGCCTCAAGGGATACACCGTCACCCTGGATGGTTTCATTGTGGGTTCCTTGGGATATTGTATGATTTGCAGCATTGTATGATTTTTGTACATTGTTGTCTCGGAATAAAGATTGATTGATTTGATTTGATTTGATCCTGGGACACGACGAACGAAAGAGTATTAAAACTCTTAAATATATCCTCGCGCTGTGCCCAGGCCATTAGACGCCAGATAGTCTCTGATGTGATCATGTGGTCGCGGAACATCTACGTGACTCACATCACAGGCCATCGGCAATGGTAGAGAACCCCCCATCAGTATATTGAACGTATGGCCCGTTGTTAGTTGTTGAGGAATTAAAAAAATTTACTTGAATTGTTAATGTTGTGATTTAAGTGTTGTGTTGTGAAGTGTAGTGAAGGGATTCAAAGTTAAAGTTTTCATAGTATATTTTTTTGTTTTGTTAAGTTGTTGATTTAATTCATGTTGGTAACAGCTGATCATAAGTAAATACACACATGATCAAAAATAGCAAGAAATGTAATGAATAACCTAAGATGTATTATAACGTGTTGTTGATTTTCCATAACAGCTACTATAATGAACTAATGAATGTCTCTTCATAACGGCTTTAGAAGCAAAGCATTTTCCGTAGTGCACTTGTAAGGTCTCTCTTCTGTATGAACCAATGAATGTCTCTTTATAACATCTTTAGACACAAAGGATTTTCTGTAGTGTGCTTGTTAAGTTTTTCTTCCGTATGAACCTATGAATGTCTCTTCATAAGGGCTTTAGAAGCAAAAGATTATTCGTAGTGCACTTGTAAGGTCTCTCTTCTGTATGAACCAATGAATGTCTCTTCATAACGGATCTAGACACAAAGGATTTTCCACATGTAGTGCACTTGTAAGGTCTCTCATTTGTATGAACCAATGAATGTCTCTTCATAACGGCTTTAGAAGCAAAGGATTATCCGTAGTGCACTTGTAAGGTCTTTCTTCTGTATGAAAAAATGAATGTCTCTTCATAATGGCTTTAGAAGCAAAGGATTATCTGTAGTGCACTTGTAAGGTCTTTCTTCTGTATGAACCAATGTATGTATCTTCATATTATTTTTAGACACAAAGGATTTTCCACATGTAGTGCATTTATAATATGATCTCTCTCCTGTATGAATCAATGTATGTACCTTCAAATAGCGTTTTGATGCAAAGAATTTTCCACATGAAGCACACATAAAGGGTCTCTCTACTGTATGAATCAATGTATGTATCTTCATATTATTTTTAGACACAAAGGATTTTTCACATGCAGTGCACTTATAGGATCTCTCTTGTATGATTCAATGTATGTTTCTTCAAATAGTGTTTTGATGCAAAGAATTTTCCACATGTAGTGCACTTATAGGGTCTCTCTACTGTATGAACCAATGCATGTATCTTCATAAGGGCTTTAGACACAAAGGATTTTCCACATGAAGGGCACTTGTAATGGCTTTCTCTGGTGTGAACGAATGAATGTGTCTTCATTTCGCCTTTGGTAGCAAATGATTTACCACATGTAGAACACTTAAAAGGTCTCTCTCCTGTATGAACCAATGTATGTTTCTTCATAACGGATTTCGACACAAAGGATTTTCCACATAAAGTGCACTTAAAAGGGCTTTCTACCATGTGAACGAATGAATGTCTCTTCATTTCGCTTTTGGTTATAAAGGATTTGCCACATATAGTGCACTTATAGGGTCTCTCTCCTGTATGAAGCAATGTATGATTCTTCAAATCGGCTTTAGACACAAAGCATTTCCCACATGAAGTGCACTTGTAAGGGCTCTCTCTCGTGTGAACGAATGAATGTCTCTTCATTTCGCTTTTGGTTGCAAATGATTTACTACATGTAGAACACTTAAAAGGTCTTTCTCCTGTATGGACCCATGAATGCCTCTTAATATCACCTTTGGTTTTAAAGGATTTGCCACATGCAGAGCACTTAAAAGGTCTCTCTCCTGTATGGACCCATGAATGACTCTTAATTTCACCTTTGGTTTTAAAGGATTTTCCACATGAAGAACACTTGAAAGGTCTCTCTCCTGTATGAACCAATGAATGTGTATTCATAACAGCTGCAGACACAAAGGATTTTTCACATAAAGTGCACTTGTAAGGACACTTCCAATAATGTATCAACAAATGACGCTTTACTTGTTTTAGGTGGAAAAAGGTTTTGTCACATGTCAAACATTTAAAGGGACGCTCTCCTGTGTGATATAATATATGGACCTTCATTGCTGATTGAGTTGAACATCTTTGCTCACACATTGGACACTTGAGAGGAAAATCTTGAGTACGAGTTAACATTTCTACTCTTGCACTTTTATCTCCGTTAAACTTATTACATAAATCTAGTGACTATTCAGAAAACTTAACAAATCAGAAGGCTTTGTATGTATTTTAAATAGTAATCTTCTTAGTAGGACTTCTTAAATGTACATAACAGATACATGATAGGCTTCTTCTCTCATTCAACATTGAATCTTCTCATATTCAAATCTTGCTATGCATATTAGGTAGTTTACAATATACTTGAGTAATTTTAATTTTCTATTGTCTTTCTGTATTATTATATTGTATCATATAAATTCTTAAATCAATATAATCTGTTGTTTTAATTCCTTTTACTGCCACAACCTACAACAAAAAGGTTCATTAGTCTATAATTTAAATTCTATTGAATTAAATTTAATTTTTATAAAATTACTAGCTGTTGTACCTTGTACCCGTGCTTTGCAACGGGAATGGGACACGAAATATGAACATTTTGATCTTTACATCTTTTGTAGGCTACAGTCATTTTAAGATTAAACAAACCTACCACATAGTTTTGTAATGTATTATATTTAATTTCTTTGGATCAGCTGGCTCAAATTGTGAAATAAGCGGGTCTAACTAAGGCCCCCCCCCTAGGTCTGACTTACAGCCACGAGAGATATTAATGAGGCATCGATGACATCATAGTTTAGTTCAAATTCCTTCATGAACAGCGCTGTAGTAGAGAGCACTTTGGCTATAATGAAGGTTTACTAATCAAAAAAATAGTTGTGTTCATAACATAAAATTATAAATGCCTCAAATTCAATTTTATAGTTTTCAGCAAAATTCCCATATAGGGAATAAGCTATTACCGTAGGTCTCAAGGTAAGACTTGGATAAAATTAAAATCTGAAAATTAAAAACGAATCCTTAAACCTGCAATTTATTAATAACTTCTAACAAATAGTGATAAGAACAGACTACGGTCTCCAATGATTTTTAATGTTTTGGAATAGTACAGACACCTGAAAAATAGATTCTTAATACTGATAATTTCAATTTTGCAATTGAAAATGTACTTGAGGAATTGCCTCCAGCACAGCCACAAACTTTGAAAAATAACTCGTTTGTTAAATCCACAGAAAGTGTTCCAATGGAATCCACTTAATGAGGACGAATTAGCTAAAGTAATTGATTCTTTGAAAAATAAAAACTCTTACGTATATGATGAAATTACCAATAATAGTTGTACCGAGGTAAATTAATTAAATTGAAATGACCTAAACAAAATTAAACTATTTAATCAATGGTAAGACAAAAACTTAAGAAATAGTGTCCTGCATTTTAAAGGATTTAACTTTGTAGGTTGGTAGTGGTACTAGATAAGATATTCAAGTTTTTGTCAGTTAAGTTCACTGGAAATGTTGGTCTATTGAAAGTGGTTGCTGTAGAAATTACAGATATCAACCACTTCTTTCATTCTTCTTCTTGGTACTACCACTTCTAGTTTCATAGTAACTTCTAGTGCCAGTTCTGACCATTAAACCCAGAGTCTCTGATTAAAGTAAGACCTTTCCAGTTTTTTATTATTTAGTACAATAATTGGAACTAATAAGAATGAAACTGAATTTTATTAGGAAAGTGTATTTTGTGAAAATTTGAAATTTATAGAATATATATATATCTTTGGCCTACTTTGTCTTTTAATTCATCTCACTTCTACGACCAGTAAAATTGTGATTCATTTTAAATTAAAGTGTACCACCTAATTGGCAACATGGTAAGGGGTATACAGTCATAAAATTTAAAAAAATTACATTGATAAAGCCTGTATTATACCTGATAAATTCATCCTTAATTTGTGGCAACTTCCCGGACAAATTGAAGAATTATCGTCCAGTTTATATTCTCTCTTCAATCTTAAAAGTTTTTGAAACAGCCATGCATGGAAGACTCATGTCATTTTTAGAACAAAATAGTCTTTTAGATTACGAACAAAATGGTTTTTGCAAAGTTAAATCTGTGACCACAGCTCTGATCAATTTTACTGAATCAATTATAGAATCAATAGACAAAAAAGTGTTGCTAGTATTTTCATGGACCTTTCTAAAGCATTTGATAGTATTTCACATGAAAGGGTGCTACAGAAATCACATTATCTTTGGATTCAAAAACAAAAACCCCTTTCCAGTGGTTCAAGTCATATCTCACTAACAGGAAGCATTTTACAGAAATCAGTCATATAAACAACTGAACACTCAAATTTTAAAAATTACCTCCTCAACACAAAATATAAAGCATGGCGTCTTGCAAGGGTCTATTCTTGGACCTTTACTTTTTATTTGTTATGTTAAGAATAAGCTAAAATGTCTAGGTAACAATGAAATATATAATTATAAACTCCCACAGTATGCTGACGATAATAATCTCATTGTATCTGCTAAATGCCAGATTGATCTAGAAGTAGCAGCTCACATAGAATTAACACAAATCCAAGAATTTTTAGTAAACAATCGATTAATATTAAATTCAAAAAAACAAACATTTTATATAATTCAGTACAAAGCAGAACAAGAATAAGTGTAGCCCTCATGTTTATTAACAACAACACAATAAAACAAATTAATTAGGTATTAATTGTACAAAATTGTTATGTATCCATATTGATGAATGTCTTAGGTGGGATCATCATGTGGAAAGCATTGTACGTAAGGTAAATTCTGTCTCCCAAGAAGAATGTTTTATTTAAGTGATTTATCAACATTACAAATAGTTTTCATTCCCATATCCAATCACACATTTCTTATGCAATTGTAATGTATGAGGCACTTCCCAGAAAATAATAGATAATATACTTGTTTTACAGATGAAAAAAAAAACCAATAATAATAATGTTAAACCTAGATTATAATGAGTCTGTAAAGCAACATTTTGTCAACTTGAAACTATTAACTGTGTTTTGTTTGTATGTACTGGAATGTATCGTACATGTTAAAAACCCAGGAATTAACTCAGAAGAAGCAAATAAAAAATTATATATAGTGAAATATTGTAATTGATGGTAACTATTGAATGACTATTATGTGAATGCAAAAGAAAATGTACCTACCTGAGGAATTGCCTCCAGCACAACCCCGTGACTTTGACAAATAACTTGTTTGTTAAATCCACAGAAAGTGTTCCAATGCAATCCACTTGGTCTCTCCCTTAATGAACCAATGAATGTCTCTTCATATCACTTCTGGTTGTAAAGGATTTGCCACATGTAGAGCACTTAAAAGGTCTCTCCCTGAATGAACCAATGAATGTCTCTTCATATCACTTCTGGTTGTAAAGGATTGCCACATGTAGCACACTTAAAAGGTCTCTCTCTAAATGAACCAATGAATGTCTCTTCATATCACTTCTGGTTGTAAAGGATTTGCAACATGTAGAGCACTTAAAAGGTCTCTCTCTGAATGAACCAATGAATGTCTCTTCATAGCACTTCTGGTTGTAAAGGATTTGCCACATGTAGAGCACTTAAAAGGTCTCTCTCTAAATGAACCAATGAATGTCTCTTCACTCTCTTCATATCACTTCTGGTTGTAAAGGATTTGCCACATGTAGAGCACTTAAAAGGTCTCTCTCTGAATGAATCAATGAATGTCTCTTCATATCACTTCTGGTTGTAAAGGATTCGCCACATGATGTAGAGCACTTAAAAGGTCTCTCTCTGAATGAACCAATGAATATCTCTTTGTATCACTTCTGGTTGTAAAGGATTTGCCACATGTAGAGCACTTAAAAGGTCTCTCTCTGAATGAACCAATGAATGTCTCTTCATAACGACTTTAGAAGCAGAGGATTATCCGTAGTACACTTGTAAGGTCTTTCTTCTGTATGAACCAATGAATGTCTCTTCATAACGGCTTTAGAAGCAGAGGATTATCCGTAGTACACTTGTAAGGTCTTTCTTCTGTATGAACCAATGAATGTCTCTTCATAACGACTTTAGAAGCAGATGATTATCCGTAGTACACTTGTAAGGTCTTTCTTCTGTATGAACCAATGAATGTCTCTTCATAACGACTTTAGAAGCAGATGATTATCCGTAGTACACTTGTAAGGTCTTTCTTCTGTATGAGACAATGAATGTCTCTTCATAACTAACTGCTTTAGATGCAAAGGATTTTCCGTAGTGCACTTGTAAGGTCTCTCTTCTGTATGAATCAATTAATGTATCTTCATAACGGCTTTAGACACAAAGGATTTTCCACATTAAGTGCACTTTTAAATGCTCTATCTCATGTGAACGAATGAATGTCTTGTCATATCGCTTCTGGTTGTAAAGCATATGCCACATGTAGAGCACTTAAAAGGTCTCTCTCGTGTATGAACCAATGTATGTTGCTTTATTCTGAATTTTGATGCAAAACATTTTCCACAAGTAGTACACTTGTAAGGTCTCTCTTTTGTATGAACCAATGTATGTTGCTTTATTCTGAATTTTGATGCAAAACATTTTCCACAAGTAGTACACTTGTAAGGTCTCTCTTTTGTATGAACCAATGTATGTTGCTTTATTCTGAATTTTGATGCAAAACATTTTCCACAAGTAGTACACTTGTAAGGTCTCTCTTTTGTATGAACCAATGTATGTTGCTTTATTCTGAATTTTGATGCAAAACATTTTCCACAAGTAGTACACTTGTAAGGTCTCTCTTCTGTATAAACCAATGAATGTGTCTCCATATTATATTTATACACAAAGGATTTTCCACATGTAGTGCACTTATAGGGTCTCTCTCCTGTATGAACCAATGTATGATTCTTCATAACGGTTTTAGACACAAAAGATTTTCCACATGAAGTGCACTTATAAGGGCTCTCTCCCGTGTGAACGAAAGAATGTTTCTTCATTTCGCTTTTGGTTGTAAAGGATTTGCCACATGTAGTGCACTCATAAGGTCTCTCTCCTGTATGAATCAATGAATGTGTCTTCATATGATATTTAGACACAAAGGATTTTCCACATGTAGTGCACTTATAGGGTCTCTCTCTTAAATGAATCAATGTATGTTTCTTCAAATAGCGGTTTGATGCAAAAAACTTTCCGCATGTAGCGCACTTATAGGGTCTCTCTCCTGTATGAATCAATGTATGTCTCTTCATATTATATTTAGACACAAAGGATTTTCCACATGTAGTGCACTTATAGGGTCCCTCTCTTAAATGAATCAATGTATGTTTCTTTAAATAGTGTTTTGATGCAAAGGATTTTCCACATGAAGTGCACTTATAGGGTCTCTCTCCTGTATGAAGCAATGTATGATTCTTCATAACGTCTTTAGACACAAAGGATTTTCCACATGTAGTGCACTTATAAGGCCTTTCTCCTGTGTGAACCAATGAATGTCTCTTCATTTCGCTTTTGGTTCTAAACGATTTGCCACATAAAGTACACTGATAAGGTTTTTCTCCTGTATGACACAACGAATGTATCTTCATATGGCATTTAGTTTTAAAGGATTTGCCACATGTAGAACACTTGAAAGGTCTCTCTCCTGTGTGAACCAATGTATGCTTCTTCATAACAGCTTTAGACACAAAGGATTTTTCACATGAAGTGCACTTGTAAGGACACTTCCAAGAATGCGTCAACAAATGACGCTTTACTTGTTTTAGGTGGAAAAAGGTTTTCCCACATGTCAAACATTTAAAGGGGCGCTCTCCTGTGTGATATAATATATGGATCTTCATTGCGTATTTAGTTGAACAACTTTGCTCACATATTGGACACTTGAGAAGAAAACTTTTAGTGCCAGTTAACATTTCTACTCTTGCACTTTTTATTTCTGCTAAACTTATTACATAAATCTAGTAACTTTTCAGAAAACTTAACAAATCAGGGGGCTTTGTATATATTATTAATAGTAATCTTGTTAGTAGGACTTCTTGAACGTACATAACAGATACATGATAGGCTTCCTCTCTCATTCAACATTGAATCTTCTCATATTCAAATCTTGCTATGCATATTAGGTGGGTTTACAATATACTTGAGTGATTTTACTTTTCTATTGTCTTTCTGTATCATTATATTGTATCATATAAATTCTTAAATCGATATAATCTGTTGTTTTAATTCCTTTTACTGCAACAACCTATAAAAAAAGGTTCATTAGTCAATAATTTAAATTCTATTGAATGAAATTTAATTTTTATAAAATTACCAGCTGTTGTACCTTGTACCCGTGCTTTGCAACGGGAATGGGACACGAAATATGAACATTTTGATCTTTACATCTTTTGTAGGCTACAGTCATTTTAAGATTAAACAAACCTACCACATAGTTTTGTAATGTATTATATTTAATTTCTTTGGATCAGCTGGCTCAAATTGTGAAATAAGCGGGTCTAACCAAGGCCCCCCCTAGGTCTGACTTGCAGCCACGAAAGATATTAATGAGGCATCGATGACATCATAGTTTAGTTCAAATTCCTTCATGAACAGCGCTGTAGTAGAGAGCACTTTGGCTATAATGAAGGTTTACTAATCAAAAAAATAGTTGTGTTCATAAAATAAAATTATAAATGCCTCAAATTCAATTTTATAGTTTTCAACAAAATTCCCATATAGGGAATAAGCTATTACCGTAGGTCTCAAGGTAAGACTTGGATACAATATTGCCTAACACAAAAATTAAAATCTGAAAATTAAAAACTAATCCTTAAACCTGCAATTTATTAATAACTTCTAACAAATAGTGATAAGAACAGACTACGGTCTCTGTACAGACACCTGAAAAATAGATTCTTAATACTGATAATTTCAATTTTACAATTGAAAATGTACTTGAGGAATTGCCTCCAGCACAGCCAGTGACTTTGAAAAATAACTCGTTTGTTAAATCCACAGAAAGTGTTCCAATGGAATCCACTTAATGAGGACAAATTAGCTAAAGTAATTGATTCTTTGAAAAATAAAAACTCTTACGTATATGATGAAATTGCCAATAATAGTTGTACCGAGGTAAATTAATTAAATTGAAATGACCTAAACAAAATTAAACTATTTAATCAATGCTAAGACAAAAACTTAAGAAATAGTGTCATGCATTTTAAAGGATTTAACTTTGTAGGTTGGTAGTGGTACTAGATAAGATATTCAAGTTTTTGTCAGTTAAGTTCACTGGAAATGTTGGTCTATTGAAAGTGGTTGCTGTAGAAATTACAGATATCAACCACTTCTTTCATTCTTCTTCTTGGTACTACCACTTCTAGTTTCATAGTAACTTCTAGTGCCAGTTCTGACCATTAAACCCAGAGTCTCTGATTAAAGTAAGACCTTTCCAGTTTTTTATTATTTAGTACAATAATTGGAACTAATAAGAATGAAACTGAATTTTATTAGGAAAGTGTATTTTGTGAAAATTTGAAATTTATAGAATATATATATATCTTTGGCCTACTTTGTCTTTTAATTCATCTCACTTCTACTACCAGTAAAATTGTGATTCATTTTAAATTAAAGTGTACCACCTAATTGGTAACATAGTAAGTGGTATACAGTCATAAAGTTTTCAAAAATTACATTGATAAAGCCTTTATTATACCTGATAAATTCACCCTTAATTTCTGGCAACTTCCCGGACAAATTGAAGATTTATCGTCCAGTTTATATTCTCTCTTCAATCTTTAAAGTTTTTGAAAAAGCCATGCATGGAAGACTCATGTCATTTTTAGAACAAAATAGTCTTTTAGATTACGAACAAAATGGTTTTTGCAAAGTTAAATCTGTGACCACAGCTCTGATCAATTTTACTGAATCAATTATAGAATCAATAGACAAAAAAGTGTTGCTAGTATTTTCATGGACCTTTCTAAAGCATTTGATAGTATTTCACATGAAAGGGTGCTACAGAAATCACATTATCTTTGGATTCAAAAACAAAAACTCCTTTCCAGTGGTTCAAGTCATATCTCACCAATAGAAAGCATTTTACAGAAATCAGTCATATAAACAACTTACAACTCAAATTTTAAAAATTACCTCCTCAACAAAAAATATAAAGCATGGCGTCTTGCAAGGGTCTATTCTTGGACCTTTACTTTTTATTTGTTATGTTAAGAATATGCTAAAATGTCTAGGTAACAATGAAATATATAATTATAAACTCCCACAGTATGCTGACGATAATAATCTCATTGTATCTGCTAAATGCCAGATTGATCTAGAAGTAGCAGCTCACATAGAATTAACACAAATCCAAGCATTTTTAGTAAACAATCGATTAATATTAAATTCAAAAAAACAAACATTTTATATCATTCAGTACAAAGCAGAACAAGAATAAGTGTAGCCCTCATGTTTATTAACAACAACACAATAAATCAAATTAATTAGGTATTAATTGTACAAAATTGTTATGTATCCATATTGATGAATGTCTTAGGTGGGATTATCATGTGGAAAGCATTGTACGTAAGGTAAATTCTGCCTCCCAAAAAGAATGTTTTATTTAAGTGATTTATCAACATTACAAATAGTTTTCATTCCCATATCCAATCACACATGTCTTATGCAATTGTAGTGTATGAGGCACTTCCCAGAAAAGAATAGATAATATACTTGTTTTACAGATGAAAAAAAAAACCAATAATAATAATGTTAAACTTAGATTATAATGAGTCTGTAAAGCAACATTTTGTCAACTTGAAACTATTAACTGTGTTTTGTTTGTATGTACTGGAATGTATCGTACATGTAAAAAAACCAGGAATTAACTCAGAAGAAGCAAATAAAAAATTAAATATAGTGAAATATTGTAATTGATGGTAACATTTTGAATGACTATTATGTGAATGAAAAAGAAAATGTACCTACCTGA